TGTCTGAATATACATATATATATATATATATATATATATATATATATATGCCCAACGGCTAAAATAATGGGAGGACAAAAAATAGTGGCAAGGCAAAAATCTGCACTATGAATCACAGATTATATTAAGGCCCAGAAACCACACATACCTTTTAAATTTGGAACGTTGCATATATTTAATATACAATCTTTTAAGCTCTTTCAAATGGTAAAATATAAACGTGCCTACTGACAACTGAGAAAAAAATTCTTGTAAAAAGATAAAGAGGAAATCGGGTTGCTTCTCAGGTGGCAGCAGGGAAATGGACATGCATTTGCTTGACCTTGTTGGTGATAATTTATTTACCAAAGTACGGATGCTTTCTCTCAGATTCAACGTAAAAAGCCTATCGCAACTTCCACTTATTTAATTTCTTTAAAACCAAGAACCGCCTTTCTACGTCCACATGGAATGAATCACCCTATTCTCCTACATATTTCATTGAAAAAAAAATACAGTTCCATTCAGAAAGAATATTTCCAATATCTGCTGCTTTGAGGAAGAGTTTACTGCGTGAGAGCTTTCCTCAAATGATACAAACTTAAAACCTCTTCAAATCTTGGGCCACTTGTCTATCCTACATATCGTTATAAACTTCATTTCTTATTTCTCCCTTCATATTCATATCACATACCTGATTCACTAACACTCTGCTTTGAAATTCGCCCTTGCATGGAGTATTGCAGCCATATATGGTCTGGTGCCTCTTCCGTTTGTCTCAAGGTTCTTGATAAGATCCAGAGACGGATATGCAATGAATTTGGCCCTGATCTGTCATCTCGTCTGCAGTAGCTCTCACACAGACGTGTTGTCGCCTTCCTCTCTCTTTTTTACAAACACTATCATAGTAACTGCTCCGATGAGCTGCTTTGACTAGTCCCCAGACTTCATGAATTTAAGCATTCTACTAGGCGGACATCTTGCTTACATCCTTTCACTGTCGAAGCTGTTAAATGTAGCCGTTTCTTCTACTGCAATAGCTTCATGTCTCGCACCTCTTGCCTGTGGAGCTCCCTCCCTTTCTCTGTGTTCCTGATAGCTATAATCTCCAACTATTCAAATGTAATGTCAATCGACGTCTCCAGATGCCTTGATCTATCCCCTATCCTTCTCTTCATCCTTTCCTCTATCACTCCTATTTGCTCTCACTCCAACTCTCTGTAACTGAGATAGTGGCTTCTCGCCTTGCTTGGGATGAAACGCTTAAAAAAAATCTTAGTCCTTGCATTAGGTGAAGTTTAGTAATATATACATATTTTTGTGTTTTTTCTTTTAAAAAATGCCTCATAAATTTTGTCTTTTCCTATCTATTATATATATATTAAGAAATGGACAAAGTCCGACAATTTATTTATTAAAGACATTTTTATGTTTAACGTTCTTTTTTTATAGATATAAGTATTTAAATAAATGCTCTGTTTATAATAAACAGTATTAAATAACATTTACCGGCCTGAATGTCCGAGAAATTTTCATAGAAAATATTCGTCCTTCGACAGGATTCGAACCTGCATCCTATACGGAACCGTCATTTACGCTGACGTGCCTTACCGATCGGCCACAAAGGAGCATTCGGTAGACAAGGTCGAATTTACTGCTTATAAACTTCAATCTTCCATGAATCTCGTACATTCATAACTGCTCTGGCGTATCAAATGTAAACAAATGACGTCATTGTCCATTTCTTAATATATGACATTTATAGCGATAAACTTCTACTTTAGATAAAATAGCTATATATATATATATATATATATATATATATATAGAGAGAGAGAGAGTTTATGTCATTTTAAACGGAAGTATATATATATATATATATATATATATATATATATATATATATATATATATATATATATATAACAGTTAATTTATGCTTCAATTTTCACCGCAATTCACGCTTAGGTCGATATATTGATAATAATAAAAAAATGTGATATACGTTACTCTTGAGTACAGTTTGAGTATATTCAGATATGAGGTAAGTCTAAAGAAAACACGAGAACCTACGAGCGACAACAAAGAATAGGATAATTTTCTGAATAATTAAAGGAGGAATATTAATTCTTCCTATTAAAGTATGACAACCGCAGTGTAATTCATTAAAAAAAATGATGGATGTGGTCGTTACCCTTCAACCTCTGAAAACATTCCTCATAATCATATAGCTCGCTCAATACTATCTTGATACTCAGCCTATGACATCCTTGGTCTAATTAATGGAAACCAGTCAAGATAATTAGAGACTCTCTGATATACAATTCAAGTAGTCTGGCTTAAAGTATAGCCGAAAAACGGTCGGTCATACAAAAAAATTGGACAATTTCTATATAATTCCAGAGAGAAGAGAATTATAAGAAGACGAGAAAAATTAAATAAAAACTTAACCACAGTATCACACACACACACACATATATATATATATATATATATATATATATATATATATATATATATATATATATATATGAGAGAGAGAGGAAGAACAAATGGAGTAAAAAACAGTAGCATTTAGAGCAAAATATTATTATTATAATTTTGTTATAAGAGATTATAATCAAAACATTTTAAATCGCTACAAAAATGCTTTCATGTTTCAATACTATGATTGTATTTCTTCAGGTAATGGAAAGTAACTGGTGATTAAATGATTTTTAGGGAATTTTAAAAACAAATCGTTAACTTTTTTCCGAAAGTTACAGTGGTGAGAGGGCATATGATTAGAATTAGAAATATACTTGTGGGTATGTCTCGATTAACCAATTAAATGTCAGATCTACACTAAATAGAAAAATAATAATAATAATAATAATAATAATAATATATGTATGTATGTATATATGTATGTCTGTGTGTGTGTGTGTGATACTGTGGTTAAGTTCTTATTTAATTTTTCTCGTCTTTTTATATTTCTCTTTTCTCTGGAATTGGTAATCCGTATGGATAATTCCAGGGATGATATAAGTCCTGTAATCTCAATGTAGTAAACAGTGCAAGTAATTATTAATTAACAAATCGAAAGTCTCCGATTCATTAATCATATATATATATATATATATATATATATATATATATATATCACCCACACATGACAGACACGCTTACAGAAGTGTTGAAGTCTTACATTTATACACAAACTAATGCACACATCATATACACTCCCAAAGAACTAAAAGATAACATACACTAAATACAATTCCCCTTCCCAGAAACAAATAAAACTGTCAAAATGACCAAGGAGAGAATTCTGAAATTCAGCAATCTCCCAGCCTCTTTCTTAAAAACAACTTGAAAACTAAAACATGGACTGACCAAAATTAACGATAAATAAACAAATGAAAACTATAAGTAAAGTTCACTTTCTTCAGAGACAGCCATTCGCTCCTGTAGTTCCCTGCTACTAAGAAGCAGGGATTTTTTTTTATTTTTCCTGATGATGACCATGCTGGCCGAAACTCGTCGAGGAACCTAATTAAAATAATACAACGAAAAAAAATATTAATATACAACCCAGCGTCTCTGAAAATTTTAATTTTAATAATTTTTAAGTTCAAAACACACACACACACACACACACACACACACACACACACACACACACACACACATATATATATATATATATATATATATAAAATCAATATCGTGATGTGGTGAAAGAAATGATTGCTATTGTTTTGATATTTGTCACATTTTTGATAGATTAATTCTAATCAGTGATATTGACAGTGTCATCAGAATTCCTCCTTGGATATTTAATTGTTCCAAATTCTGTGTCTAACTTAACCATTTTCCCATTGATTATAGGCACGATCGTTACATAAGTAAAAGATACTGTTTGAAAAAGATAAATAAAAAAGAATATTGGTTGAAGAAATAAAGAAAAACAAGAATGAATGATAATAAAGAGAAAGTTACTTGAAGATAAATGTGAGAAAAATGTTTAAAGAAGCCAAATAGAAAAATTAAAGAAAGAAAGGAAGATAAAAAAAGGGTAGGAAAAACCGAATGAATAAAAGAAAAGACCGGATGGCAAGAAATCTTGCTAAGTCACCTTAGGAAAAAGAAAATAGAACCTTTAAAAATGTGGAAAATCTTGTGCATACCGGGAGAAGGAGACGAAGGAGAAAGAAGAATGGCGTTGGGAAACGAGGAGAAGGCTGTTGTGATTAACGTTGTCAGCCCATCGGCGTTGTTCCGTGAGTTTTGTTGTATGATTTATGGCTCTGGCCTGCAGGATTTGAGGGAGCGCAAAGCCTGTTCCGCGGAGATCTAGGGGAAAAGGGTGAGAAGGGGCGGTGCTTAATAGGAAGGGTGGGTCTTGTGAGGGGGAAGAAGACCAAGAACCGATGGAAGGGTGGATAAGTGAGCTTCTTGTCCATCGACGATTGAGAGTAATAGGAAGAGTCAAAGGAGAGTAAGGAGCGTTTCTGAGAAGAGCAACCACGAACATCGACATTCGAGTAGGATTTCCTCACAATTTTATTGGATAAGGAAAGTAAGAAAAGAGGGAATAGAAGCTAGCAAGAGAATGAGAGAGACAGAGAGTGTGGGAGTGTGTGTTCATTTGGTATTGTATGTGGTGTACAAATCTTTATATAGGCTAATATATGCGTTTGATAAAATGTGTATCTAAATGCACATGTAGTTCAATGTGTTAATGTCCTTATGTATGTAATGTGTTCGCTAGCTCACGTGTATGTTTGCGAGTTTAGTTAGTTTTAATAGTGCATTTATTTATTTGTCTAAGAAAATATCTATTAAACTTGGATTGACTTAAGACCAATATAATGCGGATACAGTGAGGATCGAACTCTCAAAACTCTTATAGGCTAACTAGCAAACCATAACTATACATGTATGTGTTTATGTGCAATGAATGTACTCACCTCTGTCTAAGGAGAGGCCTCCAAAATCATCAAAGACACCACTCACATACAGATGTCACTCACTACACTTTATGCGGCATTTCTACTTGCAGAGAGAGAGAGAGAGGGCAAAAAAGAATGTGCCTCAGTTGGGGGACTAAAACGTCACATGAAATTTTACCAAAATATCACTGTCACAATTACTGCAAGAGATACCCAACGTTGTCACATCTACACATAAGTATGTAAGACCATAGCAGGATGAAAAAGCCATATCCGTGACACCCATATTTGAAGAGAAATCAATCGGGGACATTACTCGAAACAGATTCGCAGCCATCGTGTGTACCTTTGTAAGATTTATGTCGGATGGTATAGTATTTTTAAAAGATCAGGTTATAGGAGGCAAACTGTTCCACTAAAAGCAGCATGCCAGTGAAATTAGCATAACTTTATTTTCATGGTATGAATTACTTTTTAACTTAATATAAAATAATGAAAATAATAAAATCCTAAGCCAATTGCTGTGACCTCCTGACGAGTGGACCGATCGATTGCAAAAAGCTATAGCGGGGTGCTGAATATAGCATCAATCAGCTAAGGGCAAAGTTATATAAAATAATAATTATTATTATTATAATCATTATTATTATTATTATTATTGCTGTTATTGTTTTATTATCTTATTGTTCTCAGAATTTCTTTAATCGACCTATATATATATATATATATATATATATATATATATATATATGAATTGAGGTCAATGCTCAGTGGCGACAATTTGTTTCATATTTAAACGCAATCTATCATGACCTGCTGATTACATTTAATGATTCTCTCTGTCCTTGATGTTGACCACTTTAATCCATAAATATAGCATACATTAAAATATTTTTATCATACAGACACCCACACCCACACACAATATAATATATATATAATATAATGTATATAAGAATAATGAAGTAAAGAAAAATGAATGATGAATGCGAGTGAAAAAATTGCAGACAAATTGAAAGATAATTAGAAAAGTTTATAGTAAGGAAGAAAAGGGAGGAGAATGAAAATTGTTTAAACATATAATGAAAACAATTTTTATAATAATAATAATAATGTTAGATCAGAGCATGATTTCAGAAAAAGAAAAGAAAAGCTCAGTATTTAACAACGTTCAACAGTATTTCGATAGTGTGTCTCAAGTTATGTTTAAACACTGGGTAGAAGTATCAATCTATAAAGCATCTACAAAAAATACAAGTCTTTGTACAATCGTCGCTTGTCTTGAGAAAAAGGGTTGTACTGGTAATCAACGCATCAAAATGAATGAAACGCAGCCAGTGTGAATAGCATGCAACTGAAACGTGAGTACATAATGGCAAGCGGGCTGATCTTGAAATCTTCCGTTAGTTGATTAGTTATGAAGAGGAATTAATCAAACTGCTTAGTATAAATCCTATGGAATTCTCCAATCATTCTGTTCATTTTCTCGGGCGGGAAATATGTGAATATCAACAATCCCTGTTGTAGTTTTAGACCCAGGACTGGTTGGAAAAGATTGCAGTAGACTAATTGAAGGGATTCCTGGAAGTCCATGCCTCAAGGAGATATAAAAAATTGTTCTGACAAGTACAGCCCACACTTTACGAAGGGCTTTATCTATGTAATTTTTTTTGTCAGTGGAAAGTGTCATGATGCCATTTTTAACCTTAGGTCCCTGGGCGGGACCCGGAAAGAAATGTGTAAACTCCAGAAATCAAAGAAAATAATAATAATAATAATAATAATAATAATAATAATAATAATAATAATGAACAATCAAAGCTAATCGCCCTGACATCGTAATTAGCGACCGCAAAGACAAAATGTACCTCCGTATTGGCATGGCAGTCCTTGCAGACTGCAATGTATCCTCGAAGATCTTCGAAAAACTACCAAAATACTTGAAATCGAAATCTCAAAAATGTGCCACGTGATGACATAATTTAATTAACAATTCCAGCTGTAGGTGGAACTCTCGGATTGATTAGAAAAGATTCCATTAGACTTATTGAAGGGATTCCTAGAAGCCCATGCCTTAAAGAAATAAAAAAAAAAATTGTAACAGTCCACACCATACGAAGGGCTTTATCTATGTAAAATATGTGATTATATTTTCAAAACTTCACAGTGAAAAATGTCATGATGCCTTTTTTGTCCTTAGGTCTCTGGTTGGGACACGGAAGGAAATGTGTACACACCAGAAATCAAAAGAAATAAAACAATAATAATATTAAAGCTTCTACTGTTTGTGAATAAATTATGACAGAACAAATTGTAAGAGAATTATACACCCAAACCAATGAAGTTATGATGTATGAAATTATAAAATCAGTTCTTATTATTTATGAGGATTTGTCAAGTATTCAGACAGGTTACTTTATTCGCCGATCTTTCATTCATTTTTTCATCCTTATAATTCGTATCCCGTGTTTTTGGCATCTAGAACTGTTTGTATCTTCTTAATCTCTGATAGAAATTTCCCAATTTACGAGCTATGTGAATAAAAAAGAAAAGAAAAACATACACTTACACATAACAAAATAGAGAAAAATGATTTATTTCCGACTAATACAGCTTCATCCCTCCATCCGAAATGTAGCCTAATGGTTACCGCATTGAACTGAAGATATGAAATATTTTCGAGTTTCTTAACAAAGATATATTAAAATTAAAAAAAAAAAAATTATAGTTTAAAATCGGTCATATTTTTAAAAATAAAATGAGACCGAATTTACAATTTTAACCCATTTTTTATTTTTTTCTAACAGCTTAATATCTCGTATACGCTTTTGTAAAGTTAAAATCCGTTTCCATATCTACTTGCAATGAATTAAATATCAGGGTAGAGTGTGCTATTTAGGAAGTGTAGCAGACGAACAATTCCGAATTCAAAACTTTGGCGAAGGAAACAGAATAGCAGTCTGCTATAGTCCCCAACTTTCTGGGACACGTAATGAGAAATGAGGGCTTGGAAAATCTGATACTCACAGGACGGCTAGAGGGGAGGAGGGACAAAGGAAAGCACTGCGTGATATACTTAAGGGGCTTAAGTAAATGGATGGCAAAACAGGGTCTGGGAGAAATAACAAAAGAACAAAACATATTCAGTGCTAAAAGGTACAGGAGGAGGTGGAGAGCCATGACCGCCTACCTCCTGAAAGAACACTGTACAAAAAAAGAAAAAGAATCTTTCTCAAGTAGTCATGGCAATATACAGATAATAATGACACATTATGTATGAAATCATAACCGTCTACGCTTTGTGCAAATGGATGATTACATATGATCTGAAGGAAAAATGATTTTGATTTTTTTTCTGACATTATTTCTTATTACTATAAACGTTTTTTTTAGTAGCTCCACGTGTTTCAGTTGCTATTTCTGTTTTTCTTCAGTACTTCTCAATCTAGGTCGTTTGTTATTTATAGCACGACGTGTATTTATAAAAAAACGTTTATAATAAGCAATAAACACACACACAAACATAGACACACACACACATTTATATATATATATATATATATGTATATATATATATATATATATATATATATGAATGAGATAACGACATATAATTTAATATATCAAGAACAATGTTGTATAAAATTTTATGACAACGTGGAAAAAGATTTTCTTTGACGCGTTTCATGCTTTTAGTCCGATGAAGTCTTTAAACGACTTTGTTAAAAAAAAATTCCCCAATATATATATATATATATATATATATATATATATATATATATATATATATATATATATATTTATTATATATATATATATATGTAATATATATATATATGTGTATATATATATATATATATATATATATATGCATGTGTGTGTATGTGTGTGTGCGTATGTATGTGTGCCTCTGTGTCTAAAATGTATGTATGTATGTATGTATATATATATATATATATGTGTGTGTGTGTGTGTGTGTGTGTGTGTGTGTGTGTGTGTGTGTGTGTGTTTGTTTTGTGATAATAAATACATTTGCCATTATATAAATAGATTGATCCACTCGTGTAAAATAGCGGAACAAATTTAAGCAATGTTTTTTTTTTTTTTAGCTTCTCATAAATTTTTTGATCGGTTTAGAATTGGAATGTCCAAAATCGATTCCTGACATTTTACAGAGTTATCAGGCCTAGTTTGTCATTTACAAATGTATCTTTTGAAATTGTGCTTTCGTCACTGATATCTGCATATTATTTTTAATTTCCTGAAATTTAATAAAATATTTGAGGGGATATTTGTGTGTGATTTTTTAGGAAAGCACATATAAAAAAAAAATTGGTCGATAATAATTATTTTTCTAAAGGGAAGAATAAATGGATATACACTTTTTATTAATTTATGTGAAGATTTTTTTTCATTAATTAAAAATGTATTCATCCGTTTGTTCTTTCTTTAAAATAAGTCATTTTGTAATAAATGACTGTTTTCATAGGCAGAAGTGCTTTTACTTATACTTGACAGTCCACAATAGCTCATGATTCATTTATGTAACTAAAATCCTTCAAAATAACTCATAAATTAGCCAAAAGCGCTCGAAATCAACAAAAGTTTTGAAAATTTTTTCGCTCATTAAGCCCAGAGAAAAGGATGTTCTCGGAAATGAAATAATAATATAAAAAAAAAAAATTAGTACAAGTGGCACATCTGTCTTGTTTAACAACACATGTATTTAAGAAGGATTGTTGCCCAAATGCAGAAGTATAGGTCAAGGTTATTTTAACGGTCTCCTTGATTAGACACTCCCACTTTTATTGTCATTAGAATGGAAGTCAATTTATGTCTTGACTCTATCTTTCTCCCTATCATTTTTCTTTTTCATCTTTCTCTCTTCTTCTTTTTTATTCTTTAAATGTTTAAATTTTTAAGCTGCTAATTTATTTTATGTCTTTAATCTTCGGACATGACCCACAAAACAATTCTGTGTGGTCGAAATAATTATTCGAATTGGGTAATTTTAGATTCCAATTCTATATAATACACACACACACACATATATATATATATATATATATATATATATATATATATATAGTCATCCACTGTAAAAATTGCTTCGCTGTACCACAGTTCATCAGTGTATTAGACACCCGGCTGAATTGGTGTCCAGTCGGAGATTCTAACATATATATATATATATATATATATATATATATATATATATATATATATATATATATATATATATATATATTCAAATTAATAAATAATCCAGCTTAATTAATATTGTAAAATAATCATTCAAAGAATAAATCAAAACTTTAATGTAATTAATGGCGAATTCACTTCGCTAACAGATTAAAAACATTAATAGTATAGATTCTGTTGAACAACGCGATCCTTGATCTTAATTATTGTACAATGGATTATATATATATATATATATATATATATATATATACTTCATCGGACTAAAGCATATATATATATATATATATATACATAATCCATTGTACAATTAATAAGATCAATGAATCGCGTCGTTCAGCGAGTGGTCATTAAACGTATATATATATATATATATATATATATATATATATATATATATATATATACATACAGGATGGAATGGGTAAATTGCCGCCATTTTATATTTTTAATTTCGCGCATGCGGGTTGTTTGTTTTTTTATTTTATTGATTGCACAGAATAGTGGGTCAGTTGGGCACCATCTTTGAGAAAAAGAGCACCATAACACAACGCAATTCGCCTAAAATTTTTAAACGGCATACTCTACTGCTTGGCATTCGCGATCGAAGTTCCAATACGAAGACTTCAGAGTATGTGTGTGCCAATCTGAAGAGAATGCAGAGGATTCGGAAAGAGTTGGATGAGTCTAATAGTGATAAGATGGTACTGCAGTTCTGAAAACTCACTCATTTCTTTATGAATAGAAAAGAACTGCCGAATTTGTTGGCGAGGGCCTCAGAATCAAAACAGGGGCCTATATGAAGTGGCTTGAGGATGTAGTATTAGGTCTAGAGGGTGGCTACTGAAAGACCCTATATCAGGCAACAGGGCTCTGCTCCATGCCACACAAACTGGTTAAATCCAGTCATGGGTGTAAGAACAATTTCTTACCACCTAACTCACCAGACTGCAACCCACTTGATTATTATATGTGGAGCACAGTTGAGCGAGAGACCAACAAAACTTCTTGTAATACCAAATACCAAATATACCAAAGGCAAGTATAATGGCAGCATTGAGCAACTTAAACAAGGAGATCACAAGTGTTGCAGGACATTCCGAAGTCGTCTGGAAGACAATGGCGATTTTATTGAATAAATTTAGTCTTCAGTATTTCCAGATATTTTTGTGTTATTTTGCTAAATATATTTGTTAAGATGGGATGTCAGTGTCATTTTCATATTTGTGTAAATTAGATGGCAATTTATCCATGGAAACCTCTGTTTGTGTTTATGTACACACACACTCACATAAACACACACACACACACACACACACACACACACATATATATATATATATATATATATATATATATATATATATATATATATATATATATATATATATGTACTAGTCTAGACTTTGAGGCCACTTTTGTTAATTTTTTAAAGTGGCCTCGTAAGTAATTGTTTTGTACTTTAAATAGGGAAAATTATTATACGTGGCTAAAAAAATGAGACGAGTTTTATTTTGAAATTTTATTATGACAAAATAAAATAAAATTTTATTAAGACAAAAATGAATTTTTATTATGACAAAAATGAAATATTATTGTGACAGAAAGAAATTTTTATGATTAAATGTTGCTCTCGTCAAAATATCCTCCTTTAGCCTTGATTACTGCAATACAAATACTTGGCATTCTCAAAGTATAAGTTTGATAATTGATTCCATTCTTTTTTCTATCACGTCAAGAGCACGTTTTGTTTTTTTCCAATCTTCTGTCTAGTTTATCCCTTAATAATTCTGTGGGTTGCTTCAAACTTTTGAACTGTAGTGTATATGTATATGTATATATATATATATATATATATATATATATATATATATATGAGGTATTATATATGTATATATATATAGAGAGAGAAAAAGAAATAGCCAGAGAGTGAGAGACAGATGTAGACACGTGCGTGTAAGATGAAGAGAGAGATGGATGAGGATGAGAGAATATGGAGCAACGTAGAAAATATCTGAGAGGTAAGTAAACAAACACTGAACGAAATGAAGAAATAAAAGAAAGAAAAGCAACAAAAGAACGTAAAAGTCGCGGAAGCTAAAAATATAACAAAAAATAATGAAATGTGGAAAAATGGGGCAACAATAAATCGTAACTCAGCAAACATGAGAACGCGATATAGAAACTATCCCAGCATGCATCACGCGTAAGCCTCTTCGGACATTTATGACTGTTGTTGTGTGACGATATTGTTGTTAGGTGCCAAGTTCTGGAATGCGTCAGTTCCGTTGCATTCCCGTTAGCCACACAAGCCTGAAGCAGGAAGAAAAGAAAATAGAAAGTTAATTCCACCGCCACCCCTTTACTATATGTCAATCACAAGAACCACCACAGTTAGAATAACAATAATAATAATGAGAAAAACAAGAAAAGCAACAACAACAACAGAAACAACAGCTTCAAGTTATATTTACTCTGCGCGAAACAGACAAAAATTTAGCAGCGTTCAGAAAAACTGGATGTTTTTTTTTTCGAATGAAGTAAATTAAAAAAAATGGAGGAAGTAAAATACAAAGTTAAGCTAAAAAAATACGGAGATAAAAAAGAAAGGAAGAAATGATGTTGCATGAGGAATAACGAAAAGACGAAAAATTAGTTGAAAGAAAAAGGAACAAACAATAAGAGAAAAAAGAAAAGAAAAAAAGGAAGAGATAATGATTGTAGAACAATTGGAAAGAGAGAAAAAGACAAAAGATTAAACAAAAACTGAAAAAAATAAACAAAAGAAAAATATGAACATAGGAAAGAATAAAAAATAACAAAAAGAAGAGTGAAAGAATAAAAAGCAAGAAAGAAAATTGCACTATGGATTTATAAAGAGAAAACTGTAAGAACAAAGTTTTATGAAAAAAACAAGAATAAATTGTACATAAATTAAAGTGTGTCAGAAAAAATTACAGTGTAACCCGGATATAAGATAGTTGTCGGGACCTGAGAAGAAGTCTCTTATATCCGTGTTTCTCTTATACCCGGGTTTCTCTTATATCCGGGTTTGGTCTATTTTGTTTAGGTAAGTATGGGCTCTAATTTGGGACCAGAGAAAATCTCTCTTATATCCAGGTTTCTCTTATATCCGGGTCTCTTATATCCGGGTTACACTGTATATACTTTTTCTTACCGATTGTTCTTCAATTTTTCTTTTTCATTCTGGGTATGATTTTCACGCATTCTAATCGAATCTATTTCCATTACTGTTATTTCAAAGACAACAAATAATTTCAATCTGCAAGTTCACCGGTGATATCTTTAGAATCTACCAAATATCATAACACTTATTTAAATACATACATCCCTTTTATCCATATATCCATATGAAGACGTGCTAAAATTTCCGGGCAAGATATCCCTCTCCATGAAAATTCTTATGGTTAGACAAATTAAAAGTACACAAACTGAGAACTTCTTCACATGATCATTTGCATGTATATATATATATATATATATATATATATATATATATATATATATATATATTTCTATGTATATATCGTCGAATATATATATATATATATATATATATATATATATATATACGAATATATATATATATATATATATATATATATATATATATATATATATATCGACAGATTCGACGACTGATTCGAGTATATATATATATATATATATATATATATATATATTCTGAATCAGCCGTCGAATTCGACGTATGAGGGTCAAAAGATCAGTTCTAGAAACTGACAGCCCGACATCAGCGCATAAGATTTGATTATATTGGTGAAGGTTTCGTGCAAAAACAACCACACCCCTTGAAGAGCCGAATACAGAGACCTGGCACAACGTGCCACAGGGTCCCCAAAGATCCTTCGCAGGTTTTGAATTCAGAGTTGTCCTCTTTGAGCAGTTGTCATCCAATGCTATAGAACCCAGTCTGTCCTGCTATTTACCTATATATATATATATATATATATTAAAATCAGTTCACTCTAAGCTAGACGATAATGGCCTAAGGCGGAAAAGGGTATTGGGATAAAGAGAATAAGAAGACTTTAGAAGGAAATGGAAATTCAATCTTAAACAGGAAACAAGGATAAAAAATATATATATATATATATATATATATATATATATATATATATATATATATATATATATATTAGACAGTATATGTTTTATATATAAAATAATCATAAAATAATCATACATAGAATCAATCAATATTAATGCGATTAACGGTGAAATCACTTCGCTAGTAGAATATAATATATGCATTAAAATACTGTTAATGCATTGAATGATCTGATCCCCATTTATAAAACTGTTGTATATATATATATATCGATTTATTCGACGATCTGATTCGAGTATATATATATATATATATATATATATATACTGAATCAGCCGTCGAATTCGACGTATGAGGGTCAAGTAGATCAGTTCCTAGGAAACTGACAGCCCGACATCAGCGCATAAGATTTGATTATATTGGTGAAGGTTTCGTGCAAAAACAACCACACCCCTTGAAGAGCCGAATACAGAGACCTGGCGCACTACGTGCCACAGGGTCCCCAAAGATCCTTCGCAGGTTTTGAATTCAGAGTTGTCCTCTTTGAGCAGTTGTCATCCAATGCTATAGAACCCAGTCTGTCCTGCTATTTACCTATATATATATATATATATATTATTAATCAGTTCACTCTAAGCTAGACGATAATGGCCTAAGGCGGAAAAGGGTATTGGGAGTGAAAGAGAATAAGAAGACTTTAGAAGGAAATGGAAATTCAATCTTAAACAGGAAACAAGGGATAAAAAATAATATATATATATATATATATATATATATATATATATATATATATATATATATATATATATATATATATATATATATTAGACAGTATATGTTTTATATATAAAATAATCATACATAGAATCAATCAATATTAATGCGATTAACGGTGAAATCACTTCGCTAGTAGATAATATATGCATTAAAATACTGTTAATGCATTGAATGATCTGATCCCCATTTATAAAACTGTTGTATATATATATATATATATATATGTGTGTGTGTGTGTGTGTGTGTGTGTGTGTGTGTGTGTGTGTGTGTATGTGTGTGTGTGTTAGTGTGTTAAATTAGCATTTTCCATGTAGGAACTTTCAGCATTCACTTTCCGAGCAGTAAGTTTTACTTTCTCGTAAAACATTTTTTCAGGTGAATAATTGTCTGAGGTTCACTAACACTTATGACACTTACTTGTACTGATAGGAGTTAACTTCTTTTTTTTTTTTGTTTATGCTACTACTGACTGGGGTTTCCTTCCTAACCTTTTCTTTCAGTTAGTGTGTAAGGTCAAGGACTGTACCCTTGTAGTTTCTTGAAGCTATTCGTAATCATTAATTTGATTAAAAGTTTTTTATGTACACCCTTGTGCAAATTTTTATGCATTTTTCTTCAACTAAACATGACCCAGGGCACATTTTAGTAGTACGTATGTCCATTCCACGAATCCGTTCCTTGTAGATTGACCACAGATTCTCGGTTGGATTTAAATCAAGAGAGTTTCCGGGCCAAGCTGTAGTATTTTTATTTGCTCACTGCTACCGTGTCAACGTGTTCGTGAAGCGTTACAATTTTCATACGCTTCCTTGGAGTAGCGTCCATCGAAGACAATAGCCGTAGGACAAATAATCGACAGTCAAGACAATAGTGTCTGCTGCTTGATGAAAATTTGATCTAATCACGGATGACACAATATTTTTCAAGGTCAAACAAGTTTCATCATACACCCCGAAAATAAATTCATATTACTGCACACCACTGCAAATGATCTAATCTGAGGAAACTGACAGTAAGGTGAATGATTGTAAACTAAAGCGTTTGTTTCAGTTAATTTACCCAAGGGTGTAGCTTATATTTTAGAAGCATGTAAATGTGTTGGACAACATGCATGAGATGTCTATGAGAGTCTTGATCAGACGAAGCTATTTATGTTTTTATTAAAGTAGAACGAAAGTTGTTTTATTTAATTTTGCTTTTTCAACATTTGTGACCATTTTTCAAGTTCAAATATAAGTTTCCAATGACTGAAACTAAAATCTGATAGCGTAAAAAACAATAACAATTTATATTTAAACTTTCACCAGAAACCATGAAAACGTTCCTAAACTTAGAAATTTATAAATTTATTCGCCTTATCAAAGAACTTTCGTTGACCTTTAACCAAACTTGTATTCTTGGAACATTTCAGCTGAAATAAACCTAATATACGAGGTTGGGGTGAAAGTTTCATATGCTGACTATGATATAGATGTAAGTAGACACATCATTTGGTAGACTAAAACGCATACAAGTTTTATCTAAATCATGTAACTAAGGTCCCGATCAGCATAGTTTCAAAATAAACGACAAGTTGTCATAAGTGAATGAAATGGATGGCGGCAGTCTGTTTCACACGTTAACGCATTCGTTACGTCTGGCGATTGCCTTTAAACATGAAACAGCATGTCGCTATTCAGTATTACTCCCTATGTATCCTCTGTTTATATTTTTTTTATTCTTGATATATATATATATATATATATATATATATATATATATATATATATATATATATATATCTTTTTTAATATCCCTGATATTTAGCACTTCCCCATATATATCATGCCTAAAAAACTATATTCTCTCATATATATATATATATATATATATATATATATATATATATATATATATATACAAAGTTTATAATAACTTCAATAATTTACAAGAAATTTCTTTTGTAAATTTTGCTTCCCCACCATATATATATATATATATATATATATATATATATATATATATATATTATTGTTCTCATCCATCGTTGGCACACACACATATATATATATATATATATGTAAGTGGGCATTGAGGTCAACTGCCAGTGGCGTCAGTATGTTTCATGCGTAAACCCAATCGTCAGGCCATGTATTGCCGATTGCGTTTAGGCCTGAAACATACTCATCGGCTGCAAAATTCATAGGCTTACCAAGGTAAGTAGACACACCAGTTGGTAGGGTGTTGTATTGTGTACACAAGATGTTTTTTTCTCCATATGGTTATCTATTAGCATGCTTGCACGTTATTCAAGGGAGTGGTCCGATTCTAATAGGTTTCGAACCACTGCTAGATTTTCATCTATAAGAACACTCGTGAACAAAATCATTTACTATTCGGGTGTTATGGGTGGGACATCCCCCGCCCCGGATTGATTCCAAGGAGTGTTCTGAGAGTTTAACATATGACTTCCTTGTTTGTGGGTTAATAAAATCTAGCAGGAATATGTTTAATGAGTGGTATGACGTTCCCCTACAGCTGACTATAGGATAAAACGGAATAGAAACTTTGTAGACACTGGGGATGATGTACGTCTGTAATTGCTTGGTGTAACGTGTCAAATATCTATATTAATTCAACGTGAAGCAGCCCTTTTTATGTTTATATTTTAGGATCTGTGACAGTTTATTCCTTGTTTTTAGGTTCAGATTCTTTTTAACGTTATTTCAAAAATAATAACATTTCGCATTTGTAATACATCGTGAATTTTTGTCTTTTTACTGGTTCGTAATTTGAAAAATTTCAATTCAACATTCGTCTGAGAAAATAAACTTTTTTTCTCAATTACTATCTATTATCTTTTCACTGTTGAATGCACGCCCCTTTTTTCAGTTTTTTATTTGTATTACTGACAACTTCAGTTTTCTGGCTAAAATAAAACCAAATAGATTATTTCGTCACATACAATTATTATCTACAACCACAATTTTTGTTGAATTCAAGTCATTTTTGATTGGCCTTTTCTTTTGGGTTTTTCTTCAAGGAAGATTATTTTTCGTCTGAGTGAAATAATTTGTGCCTACAACCAGATGTTAGTCGATCTGAATAAGAATTGCATTTCAGAATTTCCTTAATAAATTAGTTGTACTCTATAGCAGGATATTCCCAGGGTAGAGAAAATTTACATTTGGGATTTTCCCTCCTAACAAAAGCAGCAACTTTTTCGGCATTTTTTAATTGAAACACGTGGCATTTGGCAATAAAATATATGAATTGAAGAGAATTTGAATTTTATTTGTTTTTAAACTGTGATAACCTAATTTCAATTCTCATTTTACAAAGTTATATTTAAGTGCCATTTGCTCAAGAATGCTGAAAAAATTTGATCGCTGAAATGTTTGTAATTCATTTTAAAACCTCTATTAACTATTACATATTTAAAATATATGCTTTTGCTATGTATTTAGAGATTCTTGATAATATCCAAAGAAAAATCTGCAACGTTATCCGCCCTAATCTGATATCTCGGCGTCACTCAATTTCTCAACGCCGTAACGAAGCTTCCATG